AAAAGGAAATGATATCTTGAAAAGAGAAGAAATAAATTTAATTTCTCAGTAGGTAATTAGAAACATTGATAAGGGACAAAACATCAATTGCAAGAAGATAGAATCTATGATAGTTAGAAAAAGGAAGAGATTACAAATTGGAGATATCAAAATTAGATGACAGAGGCAAAGAAAGGAAACTACAAGAACTCCCATAGATGGTAGTGAAGGAAAGCAGGAACAAAGGACTAAACATCAATTGCAAGAAAATAGAATGGATGCCTGTTAGCAAAATAAAAAAAACAATCAAACATGCAAATTACAAATTGGATATATCAAAATCAAACAAGTACAATTTAAATACCTGGGAAGTGTTTTGACAGAGTACAGAAAGTGTGACACTTCAATTTGAAGGGACATTGGGATTGTGAAAGGTACCTTCCAGAAGCTAAGCAAAGTATTAAGAAAGAGAAAAATTTCATTAAAGACAATGAAGAGAGTACTGAACTTGTTACATTTTCCTAAAACCAGATCTTCTGATTCATGCTACACGAATTTCCAACACTGGCTGGATGTAAATGCTCCGAACAGCCAAAACTGAATTAAAAATTTGTCAACTGCACAAGATTCTGCAAATACTTTCTGTTTTTCCTGACACACTTAAAGAAAAAAAAATAAGCAATACAATCCAGAATTTGCACCCAATACCATCCACTGTGGCCTAAAGAAACTGTGGGGAAAATAGAAATGGCTTACCTCCCAAACACCCTCACGTCTGTCTGGCCTGTGGGTTGAGAAAAGAAAGAAAGGGTCCAAGATGGCGTCCGTGACTTTTTAATATTCACGGTCTCGTGCAGTCACCTTACACGCATGCTAATGAGGTGTGTCTGGGCTCCATAAAAGCAGGTCGCTTGGAGAAATTGGCAGAAGGCATTACACCCGTGTTCAGGATACATTGCTTTGCGTTGTGTCAGACATTTTCCTACAGAAAGAGTTACATCCCTTACACTCCATATTGAATTTGACTCCTTTGCTACAGAAACAAAATAAAAACTGGAACTCATTTGAGCCTGAAAGGACATAGAAGTCCATCAAAAGGTTATTTTTGGCAATTGGAAGGTATCTTGGCTCAGGTTCACAGACTTCATTGGAAAGCAACCACCCATCTCCAAAAAACAGCTCACCAAAGGCTGTTGCCCCAGTAGGTCACAACTCATCCTCCCTCTCCTTTCATACACCTCTGTGGATACCTTTTACAACATCACTTAACACTTTTCTTTAACGAGAGATATTTACACCAATTTATCATTTGTTGTATTTTATGTTAATACAGTTGTTTATTTCTTTAAACAAGAGAGAGCCAGAAAGGCATGCAAACAAACCACTCTAATAGCAGAGTCAACTCTGCTGTTTGCAGAAGCTACATGCAGGGCTTCACATGTGACAATGGGCAAAATCATCTTTACTTCTACCATCTCGTGCTCAAGCACATGTTGTGACCATATCTGCAAACACACCTACAACGGCCACAGAACAACCTGAAGTAATAGATATAAACCAACTTCATAAAACGGATTTTCATTTGGGACCAGATGAGGTATGATAGCCCAGTCTCTGGTCCAGGACATTAATAAACACCATCACCTCTTCAACTTCCAACATCCACACTCAGGCCAATCTCTTTTCACTATCAGCAACATCACTTTCTCTGAGACAGGCATGCTAGACTCAGGGTGCACCACTTGCATCATACCTATCTTCCACCTACCTGAGCAAGCATGGAAACACATTCAAACATCAAATAAACACATAAATGGAATTAGCAATGATGTTTCCGTCAATGGCGAAATAATTGACAATATCACCATACATTGACACAACAGGAATTACAGCAAGCGTCCAAACTGGACCAGTGGACATTGCAAATGAGGCAAAAGAACTTTTGATGTCATATACACAGACTTCATCACAATGCCACTCTCAAACACTATATCTTAACAGCCATTTCCTGCACCAGAGACCGTGCGATTGACATGGTTTGTGGACACTAACAATTTTTCCCCCATCACTGGGAGATGCCCTGTATCATATCCTCTGACTATGGCACCCATTTCAAAAGTGAGCTGTATAAGCACATCATCACCCTATACATACAACCAATCTGTGAATCAGAATAAGATCTAGTGGACATGTTACATTCTTCATAAAACCAGATCTTATTCATGCTACACTAATTTCCAACACTGGCTGATTTCCAAACACCCAAAACTGAACTAAAAATCCATTAGCTGCACAAGATTCTGCACATATTTTCCATTTTTACTCAAAGAAAAAATAAGCAGTACAATCCAGAATTTCCAACCAATAGCACCCACTCCTGCCTAAAGAAAGAAAATAAAATCTGGAGCTGATTTGAGCCTAAGAAAGGACATAAAATCCCATCAAAGGTTTATGTTCAATAGTTGGACATCATCTTGGCCTGGGTTCACAGACTTCATTAGAAAGCAACTTCCCATCTCCAAGAGACAGCTCACCAAAGCCTGTTGCCCTAGTTAGTCAAAACTCATCCTTCTCTCTCCCTCCATACACCTTTGTAGTTGCCTTTTACAACTCCATTTATCTCCTTTCTTTAATGAGAGACATTTGCATTTGTTGTATTTTACATTAATACACTTGTTTATTTCTTTAAACCATCATTGTTTCTTCTTTGTTCTGCCACCATATGCTTAATATAGCAAAATGTTACATGATATTAGTTATCCTATATGACAGTAAATGCCGGGCAATCGACTCATAGATGAAAAAGAGACTTGAAGCAATAGAAATGGTGATTAATGTTGCATTTAAATTTTTAAGATCATAGTTTACAGGAAAGCAAGAAATCAGAATAGCATTACACAGGTGACAGGTGACATGTGCAAGAGAAGAAATTTGCATATCTCTATGTTGTGGACTCTTCTGATGATGTAGAAAAGAGTTTTCTACACATTTTATGCAGAAAACAGTAAGTATCCATGCACAAGAAAGCAATGCAAGCTTTCAAGTCAGATAGATTCAAAGTTATTTATTTTTTCAAATTTGTAAATGTGTTTACTTGTATTGGTTAGTTGAAGTGACTGTTTATTATTAAACAGACTGTTGAGAACAAGAGAAAAAGTATCTTTTGTAAATAACTACGAACATTCAGTTATTATTTTATTACAAGTTATTTCGTTTATATCTCACTGTTTTGATTTTAATGCTCAAAGCCATTTTAATAATAAAGCACATATTATTAAAAATTCCTCATCACAATGATTTCAACATAAACTAACATGTTGACTGCCAGAGGTCAATTACAAAATCATACTTCAGAAAATATTAACATGTTGACTGCCAAAATTTGATTACAAAATCTGACTTCAAATGCCAACTTTATGATAACCAACTTAGGCAACAAAAAGTTCTTAAAGGCTTCGTTTGTTTTATATTTTCAATAACTTTTTATCATAAAAGGTTTGGTTTTAGTTGCCAGAAGTTTTTCATTGCCTTAGTTAGACACGAGCTACCAGTGTTAAAAAAAATGAAAACTTGTGGTTGTACCTGGAGCGAATGATGAAACTGAAGAATATACAATTGGGCAGGTTTTATTCAATTCAAAAAGATACATGAGGTGTAAACAAAGTTGTTGATTTTAGAACACTTCTATAAAGGGGGAACAATCCCTTAATAAGGGCAGATAACTATGATAATAATATTTTATCACAGTAGCCTTCATGGCAAAACCACAAAAAGAAGATAATTGCACTGATGCCATATCTGGTCTGCTGCTCCTGCTATATATCTTGAGATTGTTTACAAAATCCAAAGGGTTTGTAATGTCATCAGTGCTGACCTGGTATCTCGACTTTAGTCACATTCCCACCACAGTGACATGGTTTCTGGGGTAATAAAATAAGTACATCCCATCTATCCTCTCACTTGTAACCATCTATCACAATAAAATAAATTTTTTTCAGTGCTAAAGCTGAATTAGTAAAGTTAAGCTTCATAAGCTTCTACTTATAGTTATTACTATATTAGAGCTTTTCTCTGTCCTTTCTATAAATATGACAGTTGTTCTAATGAGCTTTCCTCCTTGGTACCGCAACCTCATGAATTTAAGTGTACTAATAGACTGTAACTAGGTTTCAACATTTTACTATTAAAATAGCTAGATATAACTGTAAGTTCTATTCTAATAGTTTCTTTTCTCACACTTCTCACCTGTGGAACTCTCTTCTAGTTTCTTGCTTCTCTGCTACCTATGATCTTCAAAAATTTGAAGGTAATGTTAATTGCCATTTTCTGTCTTCTTGAAACCTGTTCTTTTATTGTTCTTTCACCTAACTAAAGTCTTCTCATTCTCTTTCACTCCCAGTACCACCTTAGTCTTGCTTGAAATGAAATGATTAAAAAAAACTTGTGCTGGGCATCATAATAAAATATACTAGCTACAAGTTATATTGTGGTTGCCAGTCAATGTGTTAAACCGAAAATATTAGAATTTATTTTTTTTTTTGATGAGTTTGAAGATGAGCATCAAATAATACCATATGTATGAATGAGTGATTTTCGTCTGGACTAATACTTTTTTTAGTATAGAGATGAATGTCAACTGTGGTGGCCTCAACTATTTATTTCTGAATACTCTAAAAGGGAATTATAGTTAACTCTCGGTGAGTTATGGTCTTTAGTTAACAAAGATAAATTTTGCTGCTAGTATTTTTTTAGTTCATGTTATCACTTCTTTCATCAGCTTTACAAAGAATCTTTTTTTCTTGATTGTATTCAAAATCAATCAGTGATTCTTATTGGTTTCTTTTAGTAATTTACATGTGCTTTTATATCATGTCAGATATAAAGTTTGCCTATTTATGGTGAAGGTATTTCATGATCAATTTCTTGTGTAATTCTAATGTTTCACAAAGAAATAATTAATTCAAAAGTGGCTATGTTTTTATTTATTGACTTGTAACTGATTTTCTTTTTATTCTTTGCAGATGATCACTCAAGAGTGGTTCTTGAAAAAAACAAAGATAGCGATTCAGATTACATCAACGCCAACTACATTGATGTGAGTAAATAAGACAATATATATAATAGTAAAATATTGATGTAATGCATACACCAACTAGAAATCACTGAAGGGGAAATACCCATATGGTTGAGGATTGAATAGCAGAAAAATCAACAGGATTTGAAGGAAAGAGAAAAAATAATTTTTCTGATGTACCATTTTAGTATACATCTGCCTTGGGGATACTTATTTCTGTGTTATATGCATACATATGTGTGTGTATATATATATATATATATATATATATATATATATATATATATATTTTACATGCATGCATACATATGTATATATAGTCAGTGATAATTGTCTTGGATTCATTCATTTAGAAGTATTCTTTCTAAAAGTTTTATTGTATTATACTTTTGGATGTGTCCTCAATCATTTAAGTGTGATTCTTGTCAGAAAAAGCATGCTTTTTTTTCTGACAAGTATCACACTTAAATCACAAAACACTCACCCATGTACTCTATTCTTTGCATGGGTTATGCAATAAAATGAAACATTAATTTATCCAAGTGAAGTGTATGTTTTTTTATGCATCCAAAATCACTCAAGATATTATGTGACTTACATAGATACAATATTCCTTATACAGAGTGAGCATTAAAAGAGAAATTTATTACCAAATCATTTTATGAAATAAAATAACCTTATCAAATCATTCTAAGAAATAAAATAAACTTACTAAATCTTTGCAAGAAATAAAATAAATTTAACAGATCACTCTAAGAAAAATTATTCTGCAGTTTAAAATACTGTTGTGAACAATATCAAGATACAGATATACTTCTAAAATATCCCATCAGATATCTTCCCAAGTTCAAAGAAGTCAGCAAGAAGTTAATGATTATGATATATTTTGTTACCCTAACTGGGAAAAGTAGTGACAGAAATTGTTTGTATTCAAAATTAATACTCTCATGATCAAGATCACATTTTTCATGCACCCAGTAAGTTATTGTTAACTTACAGGAGTTTAAATCTCTAAGATTAGGAAATAATTTTTTTTTGTTTTATTTGGCAAATATCTATTATAAAGAAACCAGCTTCCATGTCCACTTTTTCTGGCATTGACAGATATCCCTGACGTCTCTAATTTGATCAGCTTCAAAATCGGGTAGATCAGTGTCTCCTTGAATTCCTAAGGTATCAAGTAGTGCTAAGGAGGAATAATGAATACATCAAACAATGATAAAAAAAAAAAAATCAATGTTTATTTTATCAGTTTCTAAAAAGCACATCAGCAACTGTATCTTTTTTTTATATAATCCCTGAAAAATGGATATTATCCATCTGACTTTCTTATGAATACAAATATAACATTATTTTAACGACTGTCCAACTATTTCTCTGCTGAATACGTTACAGCCAATGAATCTAAACTTTCTTATCAGTACACTATTTTCTTTGTCTCTATATTCAGAGAAGAAGAAATTGAAAGTCTTGACTAGTGGAAGTTTTTTCGGCAAATATATTAATAGAGAATATATGCATTTGCTATTTGCAAACTATTTTTGAAATCTCATTTCTCTTTTCTTATTGCCTTGACGTCTGCCAGGGGAAGTGGCCAGGTGCCTCATTCAGCTTTTCTATTCTTGTACATTTTACTTATTCTTTCTTCAAATTCTTTGCTTTATATGAAATTTTTATCTTATATTGGCAAATAAATTTGTTTTTCAAGATTTGTTTTGATATCTCAGAAAATTTGAGGCATTGGTATCATCAGCCTTCAGGCATCTCCATGATTATTTGAAATCAAATAAATATTTAAAAAAATTAAATATGCATCCTTTCAGATAAATAATTTATTTAACGTTTTTTCGGGCTTTTTACTTTATTATTTTTTTTTTTTTTTAGATTGGTCCCTGTAAAATAAGAAAAGAAATAAAAGAATATAATTTTAAAAAGCCTTTACACAGTTTTGGGGTGATGAAGGAATTTCAAATTCACTTAACAATATCAAAATAATTACAACCAAATCCAAAACTATTATTGATATGATCAGAACCCAAAATATTTATAACAATAATAATTCTGAAGCAGGTGTATATAAAATAAATTGTCACAATTGTGCTCCTTACAATACATTGGAAAAACTTGCAGAGTTTTAAAACATGCTTCTATGAATGCAAAGAAGATTCTTATACACAATAATTTATCAAATGCATTAATCATACATAAAAATAAATTTAACAACAACTTTGATCTAAAGAATGCTACACTTATTAAAAGAGAAAATAACTTACTTAGATAGAAAATTCCTGAGAGTTCTGTTATTGAATCATACCAAAATATAAATCTGTGCACTTGAGTTTTTTAAATATCTCCATTTCTGAAAGAATTACTCTTTTGCAAGCCAACACAGATGAGTATTAAAATGTTAAAAATAAAATGAAAATGGTTAAATTCACAACCTAGTATTCAAAATATATATATATTAATCCAGAACTCGCTTGTAGCTGACTTATCAACATTCTTTTCTTTCACTCTTGTTGCTCCAGTGGCTTTAAGCAATGCCTCAGTGTAAATAAATGCTGGCTTTTATGGCATATAGTGAAGTTGCTACACAAATTTTGGGTGACAGGAGACATCACCTAGTTTGTGCAGATGGAGTCTCCTTTGCACAGCACAGGTGATTTTCTGTCACTTATGCCAGTCCACTACACATTTGCCTTGATAAAATCCATCCAAGGACAAAATACATTGGCTAAGATAAATATTCTTTATATATATATATATATATATATAAAAACAAGATAAAAAACATATTTTATGCCAGTGCATCTTATTCCTTGAGGAATTTTATCATACATATGCACATGGAGTAGCAGCTTGGATTGAGGAAGCCGAGTTTGAATTCCATTCAAATCCATTACATTCACTTACATGCTAATACCCTTGGGAAATGTATTAATTCTCTTCTTCTCCCTACAGCTATGAGTAAATAGCTGGACAGACTGGGTTCTATAGCCTTGGATGTCAACTGGTCTAGGAGAAGAACAACTCTGAATTCAAAACCTGCAGAGAGTTGTTTCAGGAACTTGTGGCACATAGCCACATTTAGCCCTTCAAAAAGTGTGGTTAGTTCTGCACAAAGCCTTCACCACTATAATCAAATCATATGTGCTGGTGTCTGGCTGTTGGTTCCTAGGAACTGAGCTGCTTGACACTAGTACAGTGAATACGACAGGAGAATATATATATTAAAGAAAACCGAAAAATGTTGGTGAAACTAATGGACAACTTGCTAAATCCTAAAATTCTTATTCAGATACAGTCTTGAATAAAAATGACATTACTGAGAAAAGAAGGAGAAAAAAAGCACCTAGGGCAAATTTACTTACTCAGTAAAGTGTTCTAGATCAAGCAAAACATGCTTACCAATGTTAAATCCTATAAAAAGTTAGCTCTATTTAAGTTTCAAATTGACGTGATCTTCAGATGACTTAAACAGACTATCTATTTAGTATCTTTGCGAATGTGCACAGTGATCCTAGTATTATTATTTTTGATTTACTCTCAAAGTGCCAGGGACAAGGATTAACATCTTGCTGGTTTGATGTGAGGGTCTGCTGGCAGATTCCATAACTTATTTCATGTAAGAGGGCTGATGGGTTGTTTAGCAATAGTCCTCTTAGAAGAGTTCACGAAATTTTCCATATATTCTGGATTTTGTTCTTGAATTTTGTCCTGAATGCCAATGTTGTTTGTGGGAGGTTATCTTATGATATTGTCCATTCTCACCATATATCTATTATGGTTTTTGGATAATGACCTTGTGTAAGGATTGCACTGTTTTATTTCTGTTCTGGCTATATTATTATGACCACAGTATTGGAGAATGGATGAAATTAATACTGAGTTTATTTTCTATCCCATTATATACATATCTATAGATTTGCTTTGAAAGTACCACTTTGATTCTCATTGGCTAACAGTGGTCATATATCCTAGTTTGCAGCAATTCTTATTCTAAGTTTCTTGCTAGATTATATGAGGTTTGTATCCTGGTTGAGACAGCTTTTGAATGGTTGGTTGAAATCTAGCAATTCTCAGTATACATCTATTTTTAGAGACGGTGAAATTTTGGTTTTGTTATTATTTTTATTTATTTTTCTATCTCTACATGTTCATCATGTTGAGACCAACACTTGACTGATCTTAAAACCTGAATTCAACTTAAAGAATTTCCATCAAAAGCTCGAAAAAGGATTTTGAGTGTCACTTGTAAATTTGCAAAGTTCTACACAAAATTTAATGACGGAATGTTGCGTGAATTTTTCAGCCATTGTAAATGTCACAGTACCATTCCAGCACAGTATTACAGATCTTCTCATAATAATTGTACCAGTAGTACAAAATTGGCAGACTAACTCAGTATCCTGATACACATGAGGATCATGAAATAAAAAACAAAAAACAATACCAACAGTCATGTTGAAAAAAAGAGAATTGTAAATTTAAAATTCTTTCATATTGTCAATACAGTAGATGTGAACTGGTGTTTCTCTAAATGTTGGTGAGGGAGATGGATTTATAGGAAGGTTAGAGTCAGTAAGGCCTGAAAATGTGTTTGTAAGGTCAGTTGACCAAGGTCACCATGATGATGCCGAGTGCCATCAGCTGGCCTGTTGGCTGTGTTCTGTGTCAATCGTTTTATGAGCAGCTTTCTTAAAAGCAAACCTGGTTGCTCCCAATCACTTTTTCATGTTTTTCATTGTGGCAACATTCATAATTTGCTTTTTTTATGCTGTATTTTATGTTTTTTTGAGGGGATTTGTTTAGTGAGTCGGATATGATGCTTGGAGCTGACTTTTTTTTTATTTTGGGTTGTTTTCTTAGCACTCACATCCAGCTAACATGTAGAGAGAATCAGAAAGAGATCTCATTTGCAACAGAGTATAATAATGAGTACCAATGATCATGATATACCCTATATGGCATTAGCACTTCTGCTGCTATGGAGGTACTTACATTTTTTTTTACAACTGTGA